TCGCCTGTTCTCAAGGAAGTCGTAGTATTCACGCGCATCCTCGAAATGATCAGATGTGTTACCTCTGAAAGCATGTCAGTAAATGAATCGACCGCATTTTATACTGTAGCAACATACGTTTCTTGCGAAGTCTTTTCACCGGCGCGCTTCTCGACACCAGCCTTGGTTCGCTGGAAGCAGATAATGTCTCCATCTTGCAATTCGGCAACCTTCAGCGACTGCTTGGGCTTGAGAGGTTCGATCATAGTGGGCTTAATCTCCTGTTTTGACTTAGTTACCGTCGGTCGTCCAATGCCAGTAGTTTTCTTACCTCCCAAAGCAGAAGCTTCTCCTCGGCAGGTAGCTTCTCGCCCCATCCCATTTTCTTCAAGATCATTGGTAGCAGTTCTTCGACTTTCTTGTCCTTGGAAATATAGACATGGCCGACACCCCGCAGTGTCTGGGCGTCGATATCGAAGTGCTTAAGGAGAAGTAAGATGGTGTCATTCTTGACGATGACACCATTGGGCTGACTCTGGTAAGATGGCCAGATTGGCTCTCCGTCAGCATTGACTTCCTCGGCAACCTCAGCCCACACACGTAAACTAGCATCTCTGTGGGCAGCAGAACGGGAGAAAGTCTCGTCGACTGTAGGCCGCAAATCCATGATGGGTTGGTCAGGGCGAACTGTCTTGTTCTGCCGATTGACCATGAGCCAAAGCCGTACCCTTCGTGGATCTTCGCCCATCTCTGATGCAACTTGCGCAACAAACTCCTCCATGGTCATCGCGCGACGCACGCGATAGAACTTTGGTGCAGCGGGATCCTCGGGCTTTGCATCAAATTGACACAAATCTGTGCCGCCAAATTGTTGAAACGAGTAATCAGTGATAACCTTGGCCCACATGTATAGATGCGCCTCTCGCTGTTCTTTCTTGCGGGCTTCCCGCTGAACAGTCTCTTCCTCAAATTTTTGCCCTACGGTGGTTAGCAAGTTGACAAAGGAAGAACGCCAAAATACTTACTAAGATGAAGCGGAATATTATCCGTGGTAACCGGACACAGGATATCATCTATACGAGATTGGCGGATATACACCAACATGTATGCACTGTTTTGGCGCATAATGGGAGCCTTCTTTTGCACAGGCGCACGCGGGTAACCGTTGGATGTTTGATACTCTCCACCGAAATTCTCTTCCATAACTTCGCGCCTCGTCGCCTTGGTGACCTTATCATCGTCGTACTTGTAGAACCATCCGTCCTTTTCGGGCTTCAAAAAGGCATAGTAATGGCCTGCGTTCAGATCACCACTGTGGACTAGAACGCTGTGAAGCTGATACGTCCATGGAACAGATTTGTCGGCATCCTCGGATAGGTACGGCGCAGCGTCAAAAAACTCGGGGAACTCATATCGGTCATTGATCTTCATCATGGTGTCGCGCTGGATATCGTACTCGAAGCGCTTCAGCTGTAGATGGAGGACGTCAGGAAAGCTGTTGAAAATGACTCCTTTGTTCGCATCCTGCAGCTTATACTGATCACCAGCAAAGTATTGATTTTCTCCATCCATCTTTTCGACTTGGACATAGTCCTCAAAGCTCTCAAGCAGATGCTTGTTACCACTGACATTCAGCTGAATGTCCCAAAAGTCCTCGATTCGGCTGGATTCGTAGTCGACATTGATACATGATATGTATGTCTTAATCTTACCACTGAACATTTCTGGCAGAACGTTCTCCGATGCAGTTCCCTTCATCTTGTCTTCCATCCTCTCCATGAGCTTGCGTGAAAACTCCTGCACATCCTGTTGTTCGAAGATATGTCGTGTATCCCAGCCGAAAGATTTCGTGAGCTCCGTGGTTCCAACTGCCTGGTCCGACGTTTGTAACTGGTAGAAAAGTCGTTGCAGTGTATAAGCACTGTTGGTCATACTGGGGTCTGCCTCCGTGGGAATTTCGTAGATGGCCTATAGATGTCAGCTACTGATATACAAGAGAACAGCTGAGAGACACTACCTTTCTGAACTTGTTTGTGAAATAGAGTGATTGCATCAAGGAATTCAGGTAGCAGGTGGCACCCTGATTCTTGAGTCCAACGTACCCCGTCTCTTTCTTGGAATCGTAGTTGGCGAAGTTATGCCACAAAACACCTGTCTCATCCTCGACGAGGCGAACATAGGCAGTGATGTTGGCAGTATCATTTTCGCAGAGGGGTCGGCTGCTGCCGTCCCATGGTACATTAAACATTCGGCGGTGCTCAACAAATCGAGTAAACCCCCAATCGCCTTCTTCCTTAGTGAATCGGTGGTGGGCAGTGTGATGGACATATAGGCTAGGGTCGTTCGGGTTCCATAGGACGAGCGCAAATTGAACACAGCAGCTCCAATTATCGGGAACACTATCGGCGTCGAAGCCATGTTCAAGATAAATAGAGCATTGGTCGATGTTATTGCCGTGTGGGAAAAGTAGAATTCGCCTATAGGAGTAGAACGTCAGCATTAAGGGCAACGGCAGTTCCGGGATCAGTTTAGGCGCACCAAGGGAAGCCACCTGCTTGGAAAATAGGACCATGCTCCTTCTTATTCAAGCTTCGCCAGTCTTCCACAGTCCATGTGTATTCGTAGTCTCCAAGTATTTTCGGTTCATCGATGAGGGGTGGGAGGCAGAGCTCTCTCATGGCTTCATCTAGAGACATGGCAGTTAGCCCAAATAGTTCCAGGAAGGGCGATCACGACATGAAACATATGATGCCCAGGGTCTGCACCAAATGTAAGGAGTCAATTAGATAGTGAAAGGAGTACGCACGGTCGTTGGCCATGGGCAGATCTTGTAGCTGCTCGATTTCGCTTTGTTCGAGGTTATCGGGGTTAATGATGGCAACCTTCTCTGGCTCGTTGGCCACGCCGATATAATCGTCCGTGTCCATGACCATATCGTTAGGAGAGTTGATATCGTGAGTCTGCAGCAGATTGCGACGGTCAGCGTTGAGCCCTGAGCGAAAGCACAGGCGGCGATGAAACGAGGTCATGATGTCGGCATCGGGAGTGACTGGGGTTAGTGTGGGTGGTGAGGGGCAGCTGCTATTGGAGGTGATGATGTCTTCAGGGCAAGAGAAGTCTGCGCAATGCGTATGTCAAGAAGATATGGTAAGGCCAAATCAAAGTTGTATAGAATGTGACGATCGCAGAGCCAGGAGGATGACGCAGCTGTGTCGATGAGACCGCACGAGTTGCTCTCCAGCGACCATGGCAGTCGCGGCAAGCTGCATGGAACAAGATTGCACGGGAAGGGGCAGCAGCAGACTGAAACGTACCATTTTGAAGATGCTGGGACCGAGGCGGAAGAATCGGTGACGTTAAGGCAGGCACCCAAGAGAGTAAACCTCACGATATAAAGATGGTCGTTGTAGAAGCAGAGCAATCAATGCAGGCGCTTCAGCCAAAGCTCAACGACGTCGAGTGGTGGCGCAAAGGGCAGGGAATAAGAGACCAAGTGCTGCCGCGAGCAAAATAGTATTCTCCAAAAAATTGAGAGAGCTCGGAACTGGAGCGCAACGCAAGGCAGTGAATGCGATGCAAGGCAAGCAAGGCCAGACAATGCTAGGTATGCTATGCTATGACGATCGAAGACGAGGTCTGCACTGTTAAAAGAAAAAAGAGTAGAGCGGTCGGTTATGTCAGTAAAAGACAATGCCCACAACTCAGGTCCTAAGCCCCTAGACCTTTCAAATTCCAGGTCAAGTCAGGTCGCGTCTAAACAAAGAGAAGAGGCTGTAGTTGAGAGGATAAAACTCAACTGGGAGAAAGGAGTGTGAGGTGAGTGAGTGAGTTTGGATCCAAGCCTTGCATCGATAGGCAGAGAGCCAGTAGTAATCAATCATTCAGCGGGAACAAGAGTTGTGCGAGACTGCAGGCTTGACGAGAGTGGTGAGGCGATAGCTCGCAAATGTTGTCACGCGACTTGTTATTTGCGGACAGATGCACTATAAGTGCTGTATCACTTTAACAGACAACAGTCACGCCAAGCGTCATCAGGTCACCCCGCCAATGACGTTGTCAGTCTCTCATACCTCCGTTGGCTACCTAAAGCTTGAGTCTTTGTCAGATAAATCATGCCTACCTGGTAGGTAGTAGGTAGATAGGTCTTGATGGCTTGCACCTTTATTCAGGATGCATAGAAAGAGCGAGCTGGCAAATATAAGCGGTCTGACGCAAGCTGGGAAACGTATTCGTTTGTGTTTTCCAGGTCGTTTTTCAGCTTTGCAACACGGAGCTGAGATACTTTGTCTGACATGCTCAGAGATCCATGTTATAAAGCTTTACCTTACTACCTGTAGTTTAGGTAGTACTTTGAACAGTTTGAATTGACAAAGCGTGCGTCAGCATGCTTCCCTTAAAAGGACAAACTTGGTAATCGATGAAACACGACTTGTTGTTTCCTTTTACACTGGGCATTTTTGGACCGATATTCAGCCCATATAAAATAGGTACTCACAAGCTGTTACAGCTTATTGCCACAATGCAACAATCAGACGCCACGGCCACTTAGGTAGATCCAGGAAGCTACCCTAGATTCATACAACAAAACATGGAATGACGGGTTGTCATGGACCTGATTCCTGTAAACAAATAGTCATAATTCTCAAACAGCCCCATCTACAGCTTCACAGCTTATACCAGGCTTATCAGCCTCAGAACTCAGTCGTGACCAGGATAAACACAAACAGAAACCTCCTCCTTCCTGCAACCCACCATTTTGGGCGGGCCGGTATCGCCAACAAGATGTGGGGTAAAACTCCATTCCCGTTCCTGGGCAGCAGGTATCGAGTCACTCGCCCAAAGCTTCCTTCCCACCGAGACGGCTTATGCATACTGTCCTCCTTTCTCTCCCACCATCTTTACTCTCCTCTTTCAAACGCGGAACATCATCTGAAAACGCACTCTACACTCATGCCAACCGATTGGGCTAACGAATCAACCAGTACAAACTTCGATTCATCCTCGCATGTGCCTGTGACGACATGCCATCCATCGCCCTGCGACAGAGCAGGCGATGTAGACTGACAGATCCGCGCCCTTACCTGGCGAATATTCCCCGTACCTCCTATACGAACGTTCAATTTCGCGCTGGTACAAACGCTTCATGGCGTCCCGTTTCAATTCTTGACGAGTATGGAATTTTCTTTTATGATTCCTGGTTGCAAAAGCTAACTCATGATGCCTTCAGCTGGGTCGCGAAAGAAGCTCGTCCTATCAGTCTCCGCCAGCTTATGGTTTTTGGCCGCTCTCTTACAGAATCTCGTCTGATAAGCTCGGCTAACTATGTTCGCACCGAATTGCCTACACGGTAAGTCTTGGAGAAACTTCGCAGATAATAGAGATCTGACATGTGATTAGAATTGCGCACCGGATCCGAGATATGCAACGTTTACCCTACGTTGTTACCATGAACCCACATATCAAAGAGGTTTACGACCTTTACTACCACGCCTTCGATACATTTCGCAAAGTGAAAGAGGTTAAAACACTGGAGGACAACGACAAGCTGTGCGAACTCATCAGCCATAATCTAAAGGGCCACTTGACTGTGATACCGAAGCTTGCTATGGGAATCCTAGAATGCGGTGGTCTCATGAGTCCTCAAGATCTGGATAACTTCATGAACACCATTCTTAGATCGGTAGGGCGCCCATTCCTACACGACTTTGGTGATTTACTGACATAGAACAGCGAATTTCTAGACGTGTCATCGCTGAGCAGCATCTTTCACTAACAGAAACCTACAACTCCCCTAACTTCTCTCCCGGAGCCAAACTTTCCGAATCCGACTTCATCGGCGAAGTGTTTATCAAATGCTTTGCTAAGGATGTCGTCGAGCGCTGTTCTAAAGCCATCACCATTCTTGCCCGTACGACAAATGGTCCTGACGTTCAAATACCCGAAATCACAGTTGATGGCCATCTCGATGCCTCTTTTCCTTACATTCTAAGTCATCTCGAGTACATCATTGGCGAGCTCCTTCGCAACTCTGTCCAGGCCGTCATTGATCGACATCAAAGGATCCATTCGGACCCTGACAGTGTGAAGCCCCCTCCTGTGGAGATAACCATCTGCGAGAACCAGCAACATGTTATCATCCGCATCTGCGATCGTGGTGGTGGTATCCCTCGTGCTGAACTGCCACATCTCTGGTCTTTCAGTAAGGGTCCGCAAAGTCAAAGACGTCTCGAGAATCTTGCACAGGTCCCAAAGATGGCAGCAACGATGCAGGAGCTTCACGTAGAGGAGGAACTGGGACGTGCAGATTTGAAAGCACCGCCTTATCAAAGTTCGTTATCGTCTCTCACCAGTCGGCCGCCTAACCTGCGTCTCGGCATGGGCTTACCTCTGAGCCGTGTCTATGCTGAGTATTGGGCTGGAAATCTTGACTTGCATAGCCTCGAGGGCTACGGAACGGATGTCTTCCTGCAGATTTCGCGACTTGGAAATAAAAACGAGCAACTGACAACACGAGCGAGCATGGACGCCTTATAGCACTGGGGGTCTGGGGTAATGTCCTAGGCGAAAAGACTGAGATTGACTTCAAACCTGTAGCGATTTCAATATTGTACTCAGAGGACACTGTATTTCTTTTTGGGTATGAATCTGGTCAGCTTGGCTTAGAGCATGGAGTTTGGTTGGCTGTTTCCCCCGGTTCACATTTGGTTAATGGGACTGTTGCAACATCTCATGGAATATTGGATAGCAGCCAGAGGTTTTATGCAATTGATTGAAACCTTCGAATCTCAAACTGGTATCATAAAATATTGTGATTGAAATTACATCGAAACTAAAATGTGCCTAGCTGAGAGAAAGGGCTCTAGTAAAAGGTTGTAATAAAAAAAGGGCAAGACTATCAAGGCTTTCTCCATACGTCTTGTTCGCTTCAAAGGCGTCTCGTACTTGTGGGTATGAGTTGCCCGCATGGCAACCAAGAACAAACAAAATCATGGGGAGGGAATCATAACTCCTACACAACATGCCGCGGCCATGATTATAAGTCCCAGCAAGAGCAGCTCCTCCTTGACCTCCGTAGGGAAGAGCGAGCAAATGTATCCATGAACTCGTGGTCTCTCTCCTGTCTTCTTGTGGTATTCTTCGGACCTTTCATTTTTCAACTCCAAACCCCAAAACGGAGCTCCAGGTAAAAGAAACTTGAAGAAACGACTGTCCAACTGCAGCCAAGCAAGTGTGCATAAAGGCGTGCTCGAAATCGGTTAGCGGCGACCGTGGCTGCGGACAGCGCTGCCTTGCATCTGCTCCAGCTCTTGCTCGAGCTGCTTGATCTGAGCATGGGTTTGCTCGAGATCCTTGTTGAGACGGTCGCGCTCGGAGATGAGCTTCTGCTCCCATTGGCGGAAACGCTGCTCCTCGATCTTGACCTGCTCGGTGAAACGCTTTCGGAGAGCCTCCTCCTCTTCCTTGAACTTGGGGTTGTCGAGCTTTCGGGGACGAGCCTCGCCGAACTTGCGGGTCTCCATCTGCTGAGCGCGGTAAGCCTCGTAGTGCAACTCCTCGGTGGTGTGAATAAGGTCGAGCATGTGTGTTCGGATCAGGATAGAGCGGAGCTTCTTGAAATCGCAGTGGTCCTCATTCTCAACCTCGGCAACACCCCAAGAGTACTGTCGGCCCTTAACAATGCGGCCATCACCGGTCTTGACATCCTTCTCGGAGCCGATAACAGCGAAAGGCATGGCGTTCATAAGGCTGCGGGCATGCTGAGCAGCAGCCTCATCGTCCTCCTCGATCGGGGGCTGGTAGATCTTGATGTTCTGAGCTTCAATGACAGAGACAATCTAGATAGAGTTAGAATTGGGGGATGTGAACTCAATACAGGATTACTTACACGCTGCTTGAACTTGGCCAGGTCGGCGGGGCTGAGGGTATCGGCCTTGGCGATAACGGGGATAAGGTTGACACGCGAGCAGAGGCGCTTCATGACCTCAATATCGAGAGGCTTGAGGGTGTGGCCGGTAGGGCGGATGAAGTAAAGGCAGGCATGGACACGAAGGTCGATCTTGTCCTGGCGGCGGGGCTGTTGCTCCTGAAGCATGTAAGACTCGTGCTGGTCGTCGAGGAACTCGATAATGGGCATCCAAGAATCGCGGTTGTTAACGTAGTCGCCGAATCCGGGTGTATCGATAACGGTCAGTCGGACTGAAAGGGGGGTTAGCGAGGGATGAGTAACAGCGTGCTTCATTCAGAGCTATACCCTTGAAGAACTTCTCCTCAAGCTCGGCCTTGGTAATCTCGATCTCAACAGTCTTATCAACCTGCTTCTGGTGGCGGCGCTTGTGGTCGGCATAGTTCTTGATGGTGGTGGAGAAGAGAGTGTTGATGAAAGTAGTCTTGCCCAGACCAGACTCGCCAGCAACCTAGACATGATGCGGTGAGCAATAGTTCAGAAGATCTCGATGTGCCTTGCTGTGTATATACAGCAATGCAAAACGAGTGAATTGATTGCTTAGAAGCATACCATAATAGTGAAACCGGCGCCACGCTTCGCGACAATCTTGTGTCGCTGGTTGGGCAGATTGGCAATACCAATCGGTGAAGCGTTCTCGGCAGCTGCAGAAGCCATCTTGAAGTTGGTTGATTTGGGTATGGGAAGATAAAGGTTGAATTAGAAGAGAATCTGATGCGTAAAACACGACTTTAAAACAAAGACAATGCAATGCAAGACAACAAGCGACTGCGATATCGCGATGAAGGTCGAACGAGTGCAAAGGTTCAAGGTGGAGAGGGAGGTTTAGGGACAGCTCGTGCTTGCCTGAGTTCAGGGGAATTGGAACGAATTTCCTGCCCTTTCCCCCTAAAGCAACTGCCAGGGACGCTTGCTTCTGATAGGCTAGCGTTGACACGGTACTGTGAGTGGACAGTGGCTACCTAGTGGACACGGGGCAGCAAGGGAAACTGCCAAACAAAATGGGTCTTGCTATGCAAGATCGAGTAAACAGCCACTGCCCCTAGCTTGCATTGGTCCCTTGAGCTTTGGCCAGGAGTCAAAAAGAGTAGACCCTTTCTTCTAAGAGACAAAAATGTTAAGGTAAATTTAATATGGCTTAGTATGATTTAGTATATCTTTAGTGGTTTCTAGTATAGGTATTTTTGGCACTCTGGCTTAGCGTCCGATGTTTTCTTACTCTCAGAGGGGCCAGTCACAATTCTCGTGGCAGATTATAACTAAGGTAGTCTCGGAATAACTCCACCGCCGACTGTCGCAAAAAATTGGCTCTTATCGATAAGTCGCAACGATGAATTTTTGGCGGGTTTGCGATTTGATGTTTAGAAGCATCATGGCTATGACCTGCAGACAATAATGAAGACCGATTTCAAGGTAAGGATGGCAATGAGATGATTCCAGCTTCGGTGCGATGTGTTGACTTATCACTATAGTTCTCGAACTTGCTGGGCACTGTTTACTGCCAGGGCAACCTGCTCTATAGCCCCGATGGCACCCATCTTTTCTCGCCAGTCGGCAACCGAGTGACTGTCTTTAATCTGGTAGAGTAAGTTACTTTGAGCCGGCCTGAACTTCGAAATGAAAGGGCCAAAACTAATTGTTCCTCAGAAACAAATCATACACCCTCCCATTCGCTCATCGCAAAAACATTGCCCGTATCGGACTTACACCACGCGGCAACCTTCTCCTCTCCATTGATGAAGATGGACACGCGATCTTAACCAATGTCCCCCGAAGGATATCCATATACCACTTCTCCTTCCGATCTTCTGTCACAGCACTTTCTTTCTCGCCATCTGGTCGACATTTCGCTGTGGGACTGGGTCGCAAAATTGAGGTCTGGCACGTCCCCTCAACCCCCGATGCTTCTGCCGAGGGGGAACTCGAATTTGCTCCTTTCGTTCGATACCATACACATACCGGCCATTTCGATACCGTTAGTCACATTGAGTGGTCCAGCGACTCAAGATTCTTCCTCACAACCTCCAAGGATCTTACGGCGCGGATATGGAGTTTGAACCCGGAGGAGGGTTTCACCCCTACAGTGCTCTCAGGCCATAAACAGGCTGTCATCGGCGCTTGGTTCTCAGAAAATCAGGAGATGATTTACACTGTTAGCAAGGATGGCGCCGTCTTTGACTGGCAATATGTTAAACCTATCAACCGTATTAAGGACGACGACAAGATGGATGACGATGATGATGATTCAGATATGCAATGGCGCATTGTCCAACGGCATTACTTCATGCAGGGAAGCGCTCATGTGCGATGTGCCGCTTTCCACCCTGAGACGAATCTTCTAGTCGCTGGTTTCTCTAACGGTCTGTTTGGCCTGTACGAGATGCCTGACTTCAACATGATACATAAGCTCAGCATCTCGCAAAATGATATCGACTTTGTCACCATTAACAAAAGTGGCGAGTGGTTGGCGTTTGGTGCATCCAAGCTAGGGCAATTACTGGTATGGGAGTGGCAGTCTGAATCTTACATCCTTAAACAGCAGGGCCATTTCGACGCCATGAACGCCCTGGTCTACTCACCTGACGGCCAGCGCATCATCACCACTGCCGATGACGGAAAGATTAAGGTCTGGGATATTCAGTCAGGCTTCTGTATAGTTACCTTCACTGAGCATACTAGCGGCGTTACAGCTTGCGAGTTTGCCAAGAAGGGTAATGTTCTCTTCACATCAAGTCTGGATGGATCTATTCGAGCCTGGGATTTAATTCGGTACCGAAACTTCCGAACTTTCACAGCACCTACGAGACTGTCATTCTCATGCATGGCTGTTGACCCCAGCGGCGAAGTCGTAGCTGCTGGATCTCTCGATTCCTTCGACATTCACATTTGGTCCGTCCAGACAGGCCAACTTCTTGATCAGCTATCAGGCCACGAGGGCCCCGTCTCGTCTCTCGCATTCACACCCAATGGTGACTCACTTATTAGTGGTTCATGGGACCGCACAGCCCGTATCTGGTCCATCTTCAGCCGGACACAGACTAGCGAGCCTTTGCAGCTTCAGGCCGATGTTCTCGATATTGCTGTCCGTCCAGACTCTTTGCAGCTTGCCATCTCAACATTAGATGGCCAGCTTACTTTCTGGTCGGTAACAGATGCAGAGCAGACTTCTGGAGTGGATGGACGAAGAGATGTTTCAGGAGGACGAAAACTCACCGATCGTCGAACAGCGGCCAATATGGCCGGGACAAAGAGCTTCAACACAATCCGATATAGCGCTGATGGCAGCTGTCTCTTGGCTGGCGGAAACAGCAAGTACATCTGCCTGTACTCCGTGACAACCATGGTGCTGCTGAAGAAGTACACTGTCAGTGTCAACCTTTCTCTATCCGGTACCCAGGAATTCCTCAACAGCAAGTTATTGACTGAAGCCGGCCCTGCTGGGGACCTCGATGATCAGGAAGCCTCGGACCGCGAAGACCGCGTGGATAGCTCGTTGCCAGGATCAAAACGCGGTGATCCTTCAGCACGAAGGAAGGTCCCCGAGGTGCGTGTGACAGGCATTGGTTTCTCACCTGCAGGTACTGCGTTCTGTGCTGCCTCTACAGAAGGTCTCTTGATCTACAGTTTGGATCAGGACATCCAGTTCGACCCTTTCGACCTGAACATGGAGATCACCCCCGCCTCAACACTCGCTGTTCTCGAGACAGAGCAAGATTACCTCAAGGCACTTGTCATGGCCTTCCGCCTCAACGAAGCTGGTCTGATCAAGCGAGTCTTCCAAGCCATCCCCTCCACCGACATCCCTCTCGTTGTTGGCGATCTCCCTACCGTTTATATTTCTCGTCTTCTCCGCTTCGTCGCTGCACAGACCGAGGAGTCACCCCACATCGAGTTCTGTCTCGTCTGGATCAAGGCTATCATTGACAAGCACGGAGCTTGGCTCTCGGCAAACCGTGCTAAGGCCGATATTGAGCTAAGGATCGTTGCGCGAGCTGTATCCAAGATGAGAGATGAGATCAGGAGACTTGCTGACGAAAACGTGTACATGGTTGATTATTTGTTGGGTCAAGCGGAGGATAAGTCTGGTAAGAAGGATGTCAAGACATTGGAAAGTGGCAAAACTGTGGATGTGAAGCTTATGGATGTTGATGGAGATGAACAGTCTGAGGCGGGATCTGATGAATGGATTGGTTTAGAATAGACGGTAAATACGATTCATAATACCCATGCATATCATACAAGCCTGTAGTCTCCGTTGTCTTACATCTTAGCCTTGGGAATCTCCTCCCAAGCTTCATCGAACCCTGAAGATCTAACCCACATGGTACCTCCCTGCCTATCAGCTTCCTCATTGGCATCCAGCAACAGGTACACAGCCCTCAACCACTCGTCATCTCCCTTGATCTTCACCCACTCTCTGTTCTCATACGGCTTTGTAACTCTTTGCGCCAGCATCAATGCCCTGGCCAACTTGACAGTGTGCCCATCATCCACAACCTTGTGGATCCTCGGGAACAGATCTTCGGGCTTACCCACCAGATTATCCCCATCCTTGGGCTTATAGCCACGGAGCAAATCGCCGCGAAGAGCTGGCGAGCCACGACCGATGTACTGTAGGAGATCCATGCGGATTTTGTTCTCCAAGAAGCGCGCCTTGGTTGATGCTGGAATCCAGGAATGTTCTTTTAGCGCCAGAAAGAATGGTGTCGATGTTATGTGATGCCTGTCGCAGTTAGCAATGTGGCCAGTGTGGAGAGGAGAGACTTGCATGAGGATAAATTCGAATCTTGGAGCATGAGGTGGATGAAAAGCAGCAGCTGAAGCAACGAAAGCAGAATGGTGTACCATCTCGGCAATCTTTTCGTCCAGCTCCTTCTCATCAATCCTCACTCTCGCAGCCAAAGTGACCATCTCATTCTTCGCCCTCGTGAATACACCATCAAAGATCCGATTGGAATCTTCCCAATGCGAGCTTGTTCGAAGTTTGTCATTCTTTACGGCGTCTTCATAAAGGCCACCAATGGTCTTCATCTTAGGTGGCGCATCAAAGGCTTGAGCCTTTTCAGCAGCGGCGGTGAGAAACTCTTTATAATCGTCTCGATGAACAGCAGTCTGCGCAAGAGCTGAGGCGATGATCATAGGCTGTGACCACTCCATGCCATAAAGCAACTGAATCAGCGGGTGAAGGATACCGGCAAATAGACGGCTTTGCATGTCGCGACCTTGTGCATCATCCATAAGGAGATACTCCTTGAGTGTGTCCTGCCACCCTATTCTTTCGATTTCGTCCTGGAAGAAACGGAAGAATGTAGCATAGTTTCTACCTTTGCCAAGATAACCTGACCAGTCTGAGCCGTGTTCCAGTTTATCAACGACATCGGACTTTGGTTTCATGGCCTTGAGCTGATATGTCTTGTTGGCATTGTAAGCTGTGTCCAGATCTTTTGTTGTTGCGCCGGTACCGTATAAAGTCAAGACTTGATGAACAATCTAACATCGTTAGCGGACTATGAGACATCTATAGAAGGGCATTTACATGGTCGTGAAAGCCAGACTCGTTGAAGAAGACATGATGGTTCTGATTAGTGTTAGTTTTTGACTTGATACACAGTATTGGACCAGTTCAGGTTACCTCTAGATCCTTCTGCAGCAGGTCAGTCGCCTTTGAGGCCTCACTCTGGCCAAGCTTCATCCCTAACAGCCCCGAGTTCTGGGGTTCCAGCTGAATCTTGAAAGGAGTCGCCATTGTTGAGTATCGTATTCTTGTCGTAGGTCTAGCAAAGACTCTCAAACTCGATCTCACCAACATGGGGGGAACTACAATGAATTTGAATGAGGCTAAAGATAGCACAGAGAAACGTAGCCCTTTTAAAATGTCACAATATGTGATGTGTACTTGGGGTGAGGATGATATCACGTACAAACAAAGGTGGGCTGACAAATGAAGACGAGACCAATCTCGACCGAGATAATCAGATCTCGGATCTCGCACTTTGACTCTGAGCGGGGAGTTCTTGGACAAGTCCGAATTAGTAACTCTTTGGAATCATTTGCTGAATTGACTGACGTAGTATCGTGCTTATTTATTTCCCGTTTATAACATCGACAGTCACAAAGAGGAAGCTAATTACCCCGGATTTCCATCACTTGACATCATCAGACGGTGTCATGCCCCGCTCTTTTTACGACCTGTAAAAAGAGAGACATCACCAATTAATGAGTACCTACTATACCAAGGGGAAATAGAACTTAGGACCTGCATCCTAGGTGAGAAAAAGCCTTAGGTAAACTTAGGTAAACTTGGGTAAACTTGGGTAAACTTAATATTTCTGCATAAGCGACTTCATCCAGAACCATGCTTCGCAAAGCGTAAAGACATTCATGTCCTTTCCTGGTGAGGCCGTCGCTTGAGAGGTTCAAGATAGACCATGGCAAAATAATATACAGCAGTGTGCGACACCATTTCACTCTGTCATAGTATCACATAAAGACTCAAGAAACTGCTCATAAATCCGATCCTTTTATTTCATTATCTACCGAAAACCCAATCGGTAGATCCATCCCATTTTCCTAATCCCATAACCGTTTTTCGTAGCCATCAAATATTTCATCCGCGTGCCTTAGTCTATTCTTTACCAAGAGAAAAATTAGATCATCATGAAAACAAAAAACAAACAAACAAAAATCATTGGACGGTTTAGGCCTTACGCTTCTTCAGGGCAGGGGCCTCATCGTCATCAGAGTCATCTTCGTCCATCTCCTCGAACTCGAGGTCGCTGGGGAGATCATCGGCATCTTGGGCGTTGGCTAGTATTTCTTGTTAAACCTGAACTGTTTCTGCTTCGCGCTGTGAGAGGTACGTACTGAAGTACTTGATGGCACCGGGCCACAGATCCTCGGCGATGAAGACGGCGAGATCATCGGCGGTGGGGAAGATCTCATACTCGTACTCATCATCATCGTCATCCTCGTCCATGTCATCATCATCCTCATCGTACTTGCCCTCCTTACGGGCCTTGCGCTTCTCCTCCTCGAGCTTGCGGCCCTCCTCAGACTCCTCGGGGCTGACCTTGCGGCCGCGGAAACCGAACCAGCAGAAGAAGCTGACACCTCCCATGCCAGTCTCCTCCATGAGCTTGAGGAGCTTCTTGGAGGTCTCGGTATCACCGGGCTTCTTGCCAGCCTTCTCCTCATCGTAGACCTTCTTGGAGAGGCTGAGCATACCGTTGGTCAGATCCTTGCCCTCCTTCCACTTGATATCGACAGGCTCGGAGACGAGACCGGCCCAGCCGTCCTTGTGGAAGCGCCAGTAAAACTTCTTCTCGAGAACCTTGTCCTCAAACCAGTCGTTCTCCTTGAACTCCCACTTGAGGGAGATGGAGCGAGGGTCACCGTTGGGCAGCTCGAAGCGCTCAACGGAGAGGCCGGTCAGGGCGTTGAGGAGGAGCTCGGAGTCGCTGGGCTGAATGTACTCATCGACCTCGGGAGGGGACTGCTCGAAAACGAGGGGCCAGAACTGGGGGATGTTGGCGATGACCTCTTGGCGCTTGACGTAGAGGTCCTTGGTGAGCTTATCCTGCTGACGGACTGTTGCTGTTAGTGGGGTTTCTGCGATGCGGTATACAGTAAAGATTTGACTTGACTTACGGATCTCGAGCTCAACATCCTCGAAGTCATCCTCGATGGCCTGGAGCTTCTCATAGGTGATGAGTGCCTCCTTGACCTGCTCGTCGTGCATATCTCCGGCAGACATTTTGAACTTTAATTTGAAAGAATCAGGATGCATTCAAATCACTCGATATAACGAGAGAAACTGAAGGGGGTATCTTGTAGAGTGTAAAAGGACAAATAAAAAAGAGAAAGATGTGAAAGAGGAGAGAGGGACGAGGAAGATCGGTGTAGAGGTGCTTTATTTATTTACTAAAAGCTCTGCCCGCACCCATTAAAAAAATCTCATCTCAAGCTATGAAAGCTCCTCAGCGGTGAAAATCAACTTTTTTTTCTTCTCGAGGTGGGGTTCTCGCTGATGTCATTGGCTCCGGCGCCGAAGGACCCCTGTTTTTTTCACGGTAATTTTCTTGCCTCTGCAGGTCCCCTAAAAACATTGCAGAAACGCCTGGCATTAGTGGTCCAGTTGCTGCCCTTCTCCACTGTAAATAGAAGCTCTGTGATTCTTTACAGGGGTTGGATGCTCCACTGCGGTGCAATCTTAGCGGGGTATCCTTGGCCGAGGGGCGTTTAATTGATTTCCATTTACGTACCGTGGTGGGATGAGGCGAGGTCTGAGCAGGCGGGCTTTGTTCCGCAACGTCAACACCAACGATTCTATCACGGGCGCCAACTAATAGAAGTCTATAGTTTAAAAGAGTATTAAATAAGGCGCTGACAACTATGAGTCGATGAATTAAGCTGGGTATCCGCGCCTTTGCTGGGTGGGGGCATTGGCGACAAAACGAGTTCTTCAACATCTCGTTCCATGATTCAACATGGCAGTCACCATCAACTCCGGTATGAGCTGTGCTTCACTGCTGAAACAGGGAGTTTACAATGGCATCATCATCACCTGACAAGCGAATACTACCTATCAGCTGATCAATATGACTCCTTCTCTTCGTCACCGATATCGTCCTTGGGCTTCATCTTCACAACATCACAAACTCTCACCTACCATCCATCTCCATCTCCATCCGCATCTGACCTGACAGTGTCCCCAGACCAACATCAGCCAACCAACCCATCTCAACTGACTCAAGATGCCTCCCCTGCCCGCTAAATACCCACGACAGATCCCTCTTGAGGTCACAGTCTATGGCCCCCACAACGCTCTCAGAGCCGCCAACTTTGGTGCAAAGCGTCTTCTCCTCTGCCGAAAGGGCTCCTCTACCGTAGGCGGAGTTACTCCTACCGCCCAGGAGCTTCGTCATCTCAAAAGAAAGATCCACATCCCAATCAGCTGCGTCATCCGACCCCGTGGAGCTCCTAATTCTTCTGGTCCAGGCGAGTCTCATGACTACGTTTACTCTAACAACGAACTCGTCCAGATGAGTGAGTCTATCCGCCAGCTCAAAGAAACAGGAGTCATGAATGCTATCCGCGGAGATTCTTTCGTGTTTGGATGTCTTAGGCGTAGCCATGAGGAGACAGCCGAGAACTCTCGCAACAAAATTGTGATCCATTCAGCATACTGTCGCTATCTCATTGACATGGCCAAGCCGTTTGGTTGTGTCTTCAACCGTGCTTTCGACCACTTAGCTGAACGCGGAAACTCAGAGGCTGCCATTGCAGAGCTCACCACTCTTGGTTTTGCAGGCATCATGACAGCTGGAGGACCAGGCTTCTTCTCCAACCACCTTGAGCGGCTAGATGCTATGTGCTATCACACCAACAACATCCAACTCATTGTCGCAGGGGGGGTTTGCTGCCCTGAGATTCAGAAGCTTCGAAAGCGTGCTCACAACCATGATCGTCTCTCCATCTGGCTGAACGGCGATTGTCTTCGTCCCAGAGATCATGACGATCCAGAGACTACCGATATGAACGGCGTCATGTCGCTGATTGATCAGCTTGGCCTCCAAACAACGGACTAGTTATCCCCTCATGACATCGGCAAGCAGATATTCTACTGACTCGGGAGGATTCCAAGTTTGACGAATGCCGGGTTACATCGCACGTGTATCATATGGGAAATGTCATGGCAGGAAGGGTTATGAATTTATGATTTATGAGTGACGACTTAGAAAAAGTCTGGAATTGCCTCGGAATTCGCTATCAGCAAGAAAACCCATGAGTCAAAGTGGGATGGCCCCGACGAAGATCGCAAGAAATCTGTAACAATCAACGACCAGATATGCTCGCATTCAACAATGCGAATGAATAAAAATCTGTGAATATTCAAATGTGTATTGCTTCATTGCTCAAAAGTTCCTCTTATTACACCTCGCAGCACTTGCATCACTATCATCTACCAACTTATACATCACTCGTTCATCTCGTCGTAAGCCCACCGCCGCCGCTGATTTGTAATTTCCTAATAACCCTGCTTCTTGCCCTGGGCAAGGCCGAGGCAGTTGGCAATCTTGTAAAAGATGTCAACGTTGTTGAAAGTGCCACTGAAAGTCTCCTGGCAAGGACCAAGAGCATAGACAGGGACATCAGTGAGAGAGTGAACACCCTGGGCGTTATCGACGTTGATAGTGCCGTTGATGAGGAAACCCTTGGGAGAGTCCTCGGGGTTGGCGTAGTAGTCATCGTCCTTGAGCTCGACAGCAGCCTCGCGAGGACCAGCCTTCTTGACCTTGTAGTCCTCACGGTGGTCAGGGACGGCAGCGACACCAGCGGCGATGGCGTATCGGGGCTCCCAGTTGGTAGGAAAGTTGGCGCCAGTGCCGTAGTTGATACCCTTGGCCTTCTTGGTGTACTGAGACTCGCCAGACTGAGCGTAGGTGCCGATGGCGCGGCGCTTGTCACGGTCATCCTCCTGCTGGGCGAGGTACTCAGTGTCGGCGGAACCGTAAACGCTGCGATTGTTAGTTATCTGATGTCACAGTCATTAGAATAGGATTACTTACTCAAAACCGTGGCCGTGATCAGCCGAGACAATGATGAGAGTCTCATCAAGGATATTGAGCTTCTTGAGCTTCTCAACAGTAGCACGGACAGTGTCGTCAAGCTCGAGAAGATCACCAAGAGCACGGTCGTAGTCAAGGGCGTGCATCTGCTTGTCGATAGAGGCAGCTTCAGACATGAGGAAGAAACCATTGTCCTTGCCACGGGTAGCAAGAACGTCAATGGCCTTGAGGGTCATGTCCTTGAGACCAGGGAGATCAGAAGCATCACCCTTGCCGCCTGTAGGGTTGTTGTCGCGGCCCTCAAGGTTGTCCTTGTAGACGTTGCGGTCGAGCCAGACGGGGAGATTGCTCTGGCAGAAGACACCGAGAGCACGCTTGCTCTCATCGGCCTTTAGGAGGGAGGTCTTGTTAAGAGAGACGGTGTAGCCCTTCTTCTGGAATTCCTCGTAGTAGTCCTTGCCCTGGTAAGAGCCCTTACCAGCGAAGAAGTTCTCAGCACCGCCACCAAAGAAAACATCAGGGCCACCGTGCTGGGTCCAGCTGTAGTTTGTCATGCCGTTGAGAGCCTGGTCGATTAAAGGACCGTACTGGCCTCGGAGACGGGTGTGACCACTAAGAGCAATGGGGGTAGCATCGGCAAGGAAGGCGGTAGAAACGGCGCCCCAAGCACCGCCCTGTCACCATTAGAATTTTGAGAGTGAACCCAATTTGGAAAAGACTTACCCAGACACGCTTGAAGACCTCAACAATGGTCTCGACCTTGGGGTCATCGAAGGGGTTGGGAGATGAATCGGCATAGACACTGAGTTGTTAGCTTTTACTTTTAATCTCAAGTGGTGCGAGAGTTTACTTACCCCATGGCGTTGACAGTGCTCTTGTGGCCAGTGTAAAGAGCAGATGCAGAGTTGGCAGAGTCGGTGATGTAGCTGTCGATCGAATGGGTCATCTGGTGACCGAGAACGGGGAACTCGTCCAGCTTCATCAGAGTCTGGTACTTTCCGTTGATGCTCTTGTGTCCCAACAGACGAGCGGCAGTGATCTATGAAACCAGTCAGCTTTCACAAGCCTAGCCTCTCACATTGTGATTCTACTTACCATGTTGGTTGTCATGCCATCACCAATGAAGAAGATGACATTCTTGGCCTTTCGCTTAGGCTGAAGCTCGCGAACTGTCCACTCGGCAGTGGTCTTCTCGCCATTGTAGTAGTTCAGGGTAACGGTGTACGTGCCGGGCTCGTAGAGGGCAATCTTGCGGTAGACCTTGGAAGCAACGTTGACAATACTGGGCTTGTCCTCGTCTTCGGCAAATAGATCCTCGTACCACTTGAACTTCCATGTCTCGAGATTTGGCTCACTGACGCCAAAGGCCTTCGCAAAGTCCTCGGCCTTCTGGCCCTTCTTGGCGATGGTCACGGTGAACTTCTCATCAGGCTTTCCGTCGTGAGCAGCCTCGGAGCCGTTGACGGGAGCGTGGACCTCGACACGGAGATCGAAGAGCTGGCCGGGCAGGAAATCACTCTGGTCGGGAGGAAGAACACAGCCCAGAGTAGGACATGTGCCGAGACGCTGGTAGGTCTGAGCAGACACAGCAGCAATTGAAGCCGCAAAAGCGGCAATGGCATTGATTTTGACCATTCTAGTGAGTCTGAAACCAATTTCCAAGGATTGAAAAGGGTGGTTGGCGCGAGCTGAGGCAGCTTGAGAGGGGAGCTCGATAAGTTAGACTTTCAGAGAGGGCATCATGCTTTATAGGCGTCTACGCCGATCCCACGTGGATAGTTACCTCCCGGAAGACAAATTCGTCCCCGAGAAGCTATCCCATGTCGCGGATAGACAATTGGCCTTCCTCTGTGGGACAAGCTGAGGAGACTTATGATGAACTGATCTTGGCCTAACGTCGCATTGCATCTGGCCAATTAAGCTCAGGAAACGGCCTGGACAAACGCCCGAGACAGGTTTAGATCGGCGAGAGAGAGTACGGGCAGATCCAGTGTGTTGGGATGAAAAAGTGCAGCTGCTGTGTTGCACCACCGGAGGCGATTGGCGCCTCATGATGGAGGACTATAGCACGTGTGTAAGTTGTGCCAGGCCCGTTCCTCGCAAAGGGACCCTGCAACTAGTACTTATGCTTGTCAGTTCTCTATTACGGAGCATCATGGATTCAAATCATTGGCTTAGTAGCGGAGAGGGCGATGAACGCCGTTGGTGCTAGTCAAATCATGATCCCTCATGTAACCCAGGTGCCATGATGAGCGTTGACATGTTGGTTGTATCTCCGATCCCCATCCCCCGATCCTTGGCTCGTCTTTTCCTGTCCCAAGTCGTTGACCGAATGTGAACGCCACGTCCCGGCTCATGATATCCCAGCTCAGGTTCGCCCGAGAGCACCAGTTGCAGCTGAGATCAGAGCAGAAAGACGACAGGGATTCTCGGCTGTGGCTCTCTCCAGAAGCTCAGATGCCGCTCGTGGGCGGATTGTGAGGTTCAATTGGCTCCTATACCCCTGCTCCCGCAGTTCCACAGATCCCCAGATCCATGAGAACAGGCCTTGGCTAGCTTCAATCAAGCTTAAAGCTTCATCCTTCCTATTCCACTTTCCAGACAAGCTTGTTTCTTAGCATAACTCGATCGGGCCTTGTCGGCCGAATTGCTACTTGACGTCGTACCAAGTCTCCGGTGGATTTCTCGGCGTAGATGGCGTAACACTCTCACCACTGGTGTCCTTTCTATCCGATGCTCTTGTTCATGAACTTTGTGTGCGAGGTGAAAAATTGCAGAGATAACTGTGGTGATTCAGTGGTATCCCAGCCTGAACTCTGTCAATCTCATCATAAATTTAGGACGCCGTTGGCAAAGTTTATGAAAGCCTCTGCATAGGGCATAGATTAGTTCATGAGTTCATCGCCTTAGTTCTTATAGGCAGGTAAAAAAGAAAATGCGCACATTCTAGACTGTTGATAAAGATAACATCAGCTGTGTAATTCCGCTCGGAGCTGCCTCATATGGCTCACCGAAACGTGCTCCAAATTCGGCATTGAGTGGTTAGGCCTGCAATTTTACGAAGCTCGGCAATAAGCTTTCATGGTTGTATGTTCATAGCCTCTTGAGCGGACTCTCCCTCGGCACGTGAACAGATCTTCTTCTTCTTATCTTTTGTGGTGTTGTTGGTTCACAGGAAAGTTGGATGGACTGTTCGAATTGACTTTTTTGCTATGATTCCGGTTCCAACAACCGAGCAAAACATGCGCAAGGCTCTATTCTATATGTCACGCAAGCCACTATAGCCGTGACAAGATCGACAACTGCGTTAAGTGGAATCATGGTGATCAAACACCAGTCTGCCTGGCCAGGTAGCCAGATCACAACTTCTCTTGATCAGCATGCATCAAAGGTGGGCCGAGCCAGATTGTCGGAATAACATCTTCGCAGCGACCGTACCTGACATGACAGTAACGGCTTTCTACATTAGCTCCGTCACTTCTCTAAGCTCGGTGCAACCTCATCGATGGGCAGTGTTCCATCGACAGCTGCCAGAGGTTCTGCAATGGCCTCGGGGTGGGGACTGGCATCGACCGAATCAAAGGCTTGCCAGCTAGGCTCGTTGATCTTAGCCTGACCAGCTATGCTCTTGAAATGGTAACCCCTGGCTCGGGGTCTCACTCCAGTTCCAGCAGGGACCTCGGGCTCGTAGACAGTCAGGAATTTCTTGTGAAGCTCGTCAAACTTCTCGGCACTCTCGTTTAGAGCTGCCCGAACGCCTTCGAAGAATGAAGTGAGAGTGGCGTGATTGTGGATTTGAAGTAGGTTCCAGCCCAACATCTCCTTCGCATTCAGTAGGTGTTTAATGAACGCCCGGTGATGCTTGGCGCAAGTGTAGCATTGGCAACCGTTCACTAGAGGCTGCAGGGATGTTGTATGCTCCTCTGACCACATATCGATACCCAGTGGCTGCATGTCGGAGGACTCGGGAGGTGGGAAGGTGAACGATAGGGCGATGCCTGCATCGGAGGCAGTGTTGGCGAAAGGTACCGTGCATATATCGATACCCAGAGCGATCTGTCGCAGAATATCCTGGGGGCTCTTAGATGGTCCAAATGACAACCGCGGCAGAGATCCAAGAGAGGGATAGTTCGCCAGCTCAGGGACAAGGTTAACGTCATAAACTGCAAGACCAGAGAGGGAATCTCGCACGTCTTCTGCAAGATACCGCAAGTAATCCCACTGTATAGGGTACTCGACAGGCAATACAGGAGCAAAGACGGAAACTCCCATCTCCTTTAGACGACCTTTGGGGTCTGAGAGATGGAAGAATTCGTCTACCCATTCCTCGGTTCTCTCAACCATGCGAATTTGACGTTTTGACGTTGGAGTTGAGCTGGAGTGGAAGAGGTCAGCTGGAGGAATGGCGATATCTGGTTGAATGAGTTCAATAGTCTTAGCGAACTCGGGGATAGTGAGATTGCGGAAACCGGTAGAGGTAAAAATGCTGACATGGTGAGCGCCGTTTCCGACAGGTGTTGTCACAGCTGGGAACCGTCTTGGTCCGAGAATAAGTGCTCGGTCTGAAGGGAAAGCAGTAAAGCTCTGAAGATTTCTTGGTGTACCAGGGGGCAACTGAAGAACAGGAGGTTGTGATTTCTCAAGAACTGTTCTCAAAGTTAGACTAACACTCAAAAATTAGATTTAATCTTCATACAGTCTTCGATTGCTAGATACGCGGCATCAAACATTGTGTGCTTGGCGACATTGTCAGGTGTCAAGTGAGGAATAACTCCTCGAGATGCAACAGCGATGTAGTTTGGTGTCTGCATAACCCTTCGATTACTAGCGAATGCTAGACGACCAAGCCGAGCAACACCAGCTTCAGTGGCGGTGGCAGAAGGCTTTAGTAGTTCAAACATTGTTAGTGTTGATTCTTCTGATGTAGGCTGGGCCATCTTGACTTGTGATGCTTGTATGTCTGCTGTACAAGGAGTTTGTGAGTATTTGCAGCAAGGATTAGCCAGATGTGGGGGGTGCGAGTGCGCACTGATACACTGTGCTCCTGCTTCCGAGGTTAAACCGATGTAAGTCAACTCATCCATCGAAGTGATATACCAACGCCATCAGTAGACGTTGGATAATAATTGATTGGATAGTCAAGTAGATTGACAGTAATTTGTAATATCCCGGGGTTTGATTCTTATGTAATGAGAAATTCAAGAAAACTCACGCCGGATTGATGGCACGGGAAAGGTGGGAGACGTAGACTATGGTGAAGTATAACAGGGAAGGCAAGAAATCTTCAGCTTTCATCCTCAGTCATGGAACGACCTAAGTAAGTCTACTTTAGTATATACTTGTGTGAGTTTAGTATAGATTAGTGGAAATTTAGATGAGACTTTTACATGTTTTTTTTTTTTTTTTGCCTTGGCCACCTCAGAAGTTTTTATTGCCTCTGAAAGTCACCGAGAGAAACAACATCACACCTTTGAGTACTTTAACCACACGAGAGAATCTACTAAGTATACCTGGGTACTAAGGTAAAGCAATAGAATCTCACTCCATAGATGGTACTATTTCGCAGCTTTCTTGACTTGGAAATCTCACGAAAAGTCACGGGATGCTCGGATGTATCTTGCGATCAAAATCTACTGTTAGGCCAAGCGACTGCTACATGAAAAGATTGAGTTGAGGGTATCCAATCTACAAACAAGAAAAAAAAAGAAGAGTGGCGAGATTTCAATGCCGGCCTAAAACCGCAGGAGTGAAAGATCCATATGCGAAAGTCCATGAGGTTGAACCCGAGTGCGCGACGCATCATAAAACCGGATGTCACAGCACTCGAGTATTATCGAGCTCAAGTGGGCGATGGCATATGCATTTTGTCTCAGGGGTTTCCGTCTCGGCTTTTTTGGTTCTACTCCTATAAGTCTTTGTAGAGCCCGCCTGGGGAGGATCTTTCTCCTCTAAGCTCTTCGGTTCTGGCTTGGTGGGCTCCTCCTCGTCTTTGGAAACAGGCGGCATTACAGCCACAACCGACGTGATAATGAATAACCCGCAAAAAATGGAAGAAACATATTTCGCTAGTAGATTATTAGTATAGAGAGAGCTAATATTGAAGACTGTGTTTACTTACCGGCTCCATCTATGCTAGCCTCCCTCAATTTATGCTCATTTCTTTCGCTGATCTTTCGTACAAAAGACTCTAGATCTTCTCGCTTGGCAGTCCGAGCAAGGTACTCTCGAAACCTGGCAATATCCGGTTTTCCTTTATCAATGGCCGCAAGACGTTGTTTGATACTTCCAGCCACTTTGTATTCCTTCTCGAACCTTGCTGCAGACGCCATAAGTTTGTCAAGCTCCTCGTCCGTTGACAGAGCACGGAAGGGTGGTGTGGCTCGAGGTGGTCGATAGCGTGTCTGTAGTCCTCGGGTCTGATGCTGCAGGTGACAGATAGGTGGTCGCCATTGGTGTCGTGGAAAAGGTGCTCGGGGGGTTGCGATATGGAATCGAAACAATCTCGAGAATACTGAAGCCCCGGTACGGAGTACGGCGTGACTTTGAGAGAGTGGTTTCTGGAGAGTGGTGATCATGTCTTCAAATGCGTGCTGGATTGATATAATGAAGATGAAAATCGCACGTTTTGCAGAAGAAGTATATATGAATGTCACTGGAAAAGACAGTTTTTATCAAGATCAGCTGGCATGGCAATTTAGGGCACAGATTTACTGGAGCACCAAGCCAACAATCTTGAACTTAGCTGCAAGTTACTTTGCAAGATTGATAGAAACTTAACTGGCGAAATGTAGGCCTCGACTACCAGAATGCTCTAGTCCTGAGAATCTATAAAACTAGGTACCTATGATGCGATGCGATGCCATCCGTCCATCCGTTTGCTTGTTTTGTTATTTCCCTAGTTGCGATGCCTGTTTTGAGTATAATAATAATAACAATAACAAAGACTTGAGAAGGCTGGATTAAGATACAGAAGTTTCACCGAAGTCAACCGAAATTGTGTAAGTTTATTATTAATGAAACTCGAAAACTCCCGAGACTCTGGGTGCTGGGGTTGTGCTGTACTTGGTGGGTGGATGCAACCTCAACTGAGCTGTTGTGCACGTGACACCGTGTCACTCCAAGATAGAGATATGTCGCTATAACCTATAAACTTCCTGAGAATACGCGCCCTTGCTCACAAGACAGTCGCTGAAGAACTTGCATACAGCATTCAGATGTAGAGCCTGGTCGCGTGCATTGATACAACTTACGTTACTGAGAAGGTGAATAAAAGTGGCGCTCGCTGTTCCTGCTTCTTAGCGCACGTCTCACGGGAACTAGGTCCAGTACGTCCGGGCCGCAGGGCTGATGCTATCTCAACCAATCACCATCATAATCTTTCACGGATAGATACAGCGATACCCCAGGGTTACGTCTGACACCCATGTCTCAGTGATGGAGGTACACGATGTAACTGAGTGGACAAAGAGACTCTGGTCTAAAACCTCAGTATGAATTGTCAAACCATCATCGACTCAACATCACCTATCGTCGGTCTCGTATCTCCCCGCACTCACGTCAGAAAAGCAAACAAAAGTGTGACACGACAGGATCCTCACGAAACACCAACGTCGATAAGCGCTCCCCATTCTCCACATTTCCTCTGCATCTCTCGGCACCGGGTCTTCCGGAGCAGGCAAATCCGCCGAGCCAAGCCAAGCCAAGCCAAGCCTAGAGGCCATTAGCCCTCGTATACGCAATCCATTCCTCATATTTTCTTCTATATATCTCTTAGTGAGCTCCCGGAAATGGTGAGACATGAGGACGACGAAGAATCACAACCTCTCATGGCTCGCACCGATTCCATAGAAGTCGGCGTCGTGCCCGTCAGCGGTAGCGGCAGCGGCAGCGATTCTGATCGCGAGAATGCCCATCCTGATGCGCCGCTCGATACCGGAACCACGCTCGAAGTCGACGACAGCGGTCCCTCGACCCCACGGTTCATCCAAGATGAGACTACCTGGAAGAGATGGAATTGGGTCCCATACCCCATTCGACGAGCTTCAAAATGGGTTGCGAAATGGGCTCACGGCCCTGTAAACCCTCAGCCTTTTCGCATTAAACCACTCTTCCCAGCTATCCAGGAATACCCCCTCGTCCTTGTCGAACGCATCATTCCCAGTCTTAAACACCGATTTTGGCTCGTCTTCTGCTATCTATCCGTTTGGATTGTCACTTTCGCTCTCGTCAAACGCCGCGATACCATGGCCAGCGAGATCGAAGGATGGGGCACGCCACAAACCATTGGATGCGGTGTTACATATTGGTCCGCCGGGAACCTGTGCGGGCTGGATGGGAGCGACTGTCGCCCTTTCAATGGCAGTGGTTTCCCATTCAAGTGCAGGGCCTACTGTGAAAACTACCATGTTTTGAACCCCAGAGCGGTTGGAGACCAAGAGCTCATCTATGCGCCCATGGTCGTGGGAGGGCCGGGTACCAATGGGTCTGCCGAGCCTGTGTACCGCGGAGACTCCTTCGTGTGTGCTGCTGCTATCCACGCCGGCGTCGTTTCGAACCAAGGCGGCGGGTGTGGTGTTGTTGAGCTGGTTGGCCGTAATGAGAATTTTGCTGCGTCTAAACACCATGGTATCTCAAGTATAGGATTTGACTCTTATTTCCCATTGTCCTTCCGCTTCGTTCCAGATGTCAAATGTTCCGCGATGGATTCGCGATGGGATTTGTTGGCTGTTTCAACCGTCTTTGCTGGAGTTTTGTCTCTCTTCACCAACTCCGCTCCGCTCTTCTTCTTCACCATCTTCACGGCCATCTTCTGGACTGTTGGTATGGCACTTGACCCGCCGCCATCGAGGACAGTTGCGTCTCTGTTCTCTAACTTGATCGGAAAGTTCCTCCCTGCAATGTTTTGTGCATGGGTCATGTACGACAAGATGGGTGTTCGTCGCACTCTCAAGGGTCTCACAGCACAGGTCGAAAAGACAATATTGTGGCTCGGCGGATGCTGGGTTGGTGGAATGGAGAACTATACCCTCACCTTCATCCCCATTTCGCGCCTCAACAAGCATGATCTGAACCAGCAACCGGGGGCCAGGGCAGCACTCGCTATCATCATAATCGTGCTTGTCGCTATTGTCTGTTCACAGGTGTGGTTCTTCCGGAAAGAAGGACGCTTGATCAAATACCTCAAGCTCTACGCACTCCTTGTCGGGGCCATCCTCATCTCCTTGACGATTCCGAGCCTCAATCTACGGATTCATCACTACATTATTGCCCTCCTGCTTCTTCCTGGAACGAGCATGCAGACAAGACCATCTCTTCTGTACCAGGGACTTCTCGTTGGGCTCTTCATTAGTGGTATCGCTCGATGGGGCTTTGACCCTGTGCTCCAAACCTCTGAAGCTTTACAAGGTGATGCTCAAAAGGGCTCCAAATTACCATCAATCACCGAGCCTGTCATTCACCTTGCCAATGGCACAGACACATTGTCAAACATCACCTTCACATGGAACGAGCCGCCACGGCAGCTGTACGATGGGATCAGTATCCTGGTAAACGACGTCGAGCGTTTCCGTACATACTTCGGCGATGTTGATGCGGAGCGTAGCTTTGTCTGGAGCAGAAACAGCACTTTGGATTTACCAGAGTATTTCCGCTTTGCATATATGGATGGAAGTGAAAGTGGAGATTATACCAAGGCCGGCATCTGGACTGCAGATGGCGATTGGAACAAGATGAAACCCGGACCCTCACGGGCCATGGCCCGCAGTTTGGACAATGACAAGTTGGTTAAGCGATGTAGCCCACTCGGCTGGAAGCTCGCTGTGCATCTGATCAAGCCATTTCTCAACCTTTTATTCAAGATCCTCGCTGAAAAGCTTCCCGATCCACATGGAAAGAAGGTCCCTCCAGAAAATCCAAATTGGAAGGAGGAGGAGAAGTGGAATAACACCATTAATTATATCGCGTCATTGCCCAACAAGACGGTTACATAAGACGAGTCCGGATCTAACAAGTCAGATAAGGAGAAAGTAGCTGGAAATAAGACAGCTGAGACAGGCAAGGCAACGTGCCTTAGGTAGGTGGGTGAATGTCTTTTCGGATAATGGCGCAAGCAAGAGTTAGAATTATTATTACAAGCATGATGATGAAAAAGCGTGATCACCGTTGCATTTCTTTGACCCCTTGGGTCAGGCTCTTGTGCTCTTTCTCTGCTACCTATCTGTGCTACTCTACCTACCTACCTTACTTTACCTTACCTAAGGCAGTGAATAACGCCTAGAAGTGATGGAGAATTGGTAGGTATGACCCGATCAATCCATCAGCAGTACCTATACTAAGCATCTTACCAGCGGAAACACCTTACGTGCCATCCTAAGGTTAGTAGGTAAGGTAGGTAGGTATAGTAGGTACTAGGTAGGTCCCTAGCACCAATTTAATCGTATGGACAATGTAAGACAGTAGGTATGGTGCAAGCTTCTGTCAACAGCGTTTGACAATGCTTCCACCAACTTCGAAATCCAGCACTAGAACATCATCTTCTAATAAAGATCGGCTAGCACACTTTGTCTTTACTGTCTCTGTAAATATCAAATTCTCGATCGCCATCCAGGATTCCCTTCCATCGCCCATCATGCCTGGAGCCAAAGGGCGCAAACGACGACGACGACCACCTCCTCCGCCTCCGCCTCCTCTTCCTCCCATTCCTCCAACTCCGCCCAAAACAACCCCGACCGGGTCTGAGCCGAAAGAATGGTCGGATAAAGACGAGCCTGCTTCTAAAGACTATGCCCCTTATGTTCATTCAAATCTGACACCTCCTGATCCGTGCCCATATCACTACAAGCCCGTCTATTACTTCTTCTACGATAGTCTCAGGCAGCCGGCCAAGCTCCAAATGGTCCTTGAAGCCCCCGAGCCCCCCAAACTACGAAATGCCAGAGTCCGCGGATACTCGCTTGCACCACGCGGTCGTTACACGTCACTTGTCGAAGGTCAACCTGGGTCGGGGGTCCTGGGCAGGGCGGTACAAGTGCAATCTGCTCAAGAGGAATACAAGCTCGGCTGGCACCAAACCAGCGCTTACATGCTTGTCCCATGTTTGATTGAGTTTATAGATGGTCACGAGCCGAAAGAAGTTGCCGGATTGGTATTTATAGATGCTGGCGATCAACGGGCCTGGAGGACTATGCGATTTGATTACAAGGCATGGAAGTCTCAGATTGGAACTCGACTCCCGCGAAATTGGCAGAGAAGCACACTGGAGCCGAGATCATAGTGTTCTAGCATTGTTCGAGGTAGATTCGCAAAAGTATGGTACCATAGCGGAAGCTTATGTTATTTCATTTGCTTGTGTTTGTAATTCTTGACTTCCATCTCTGTTTGTACTCGTGTTTGTTGTACTATAGCATGTCGTCAAATGTGGGGGGTTGTGGAGAGTCAGAACATTGCAAGTGGATGAAACATGAAACCTGAGACTTTGACACTGACTGACAAAAAGGCTTAGGTAAAACTTACGCAAATCTGCCATTATCTTAGTAGAGGGTTTGATTGCTTATTTTTGACACTTGGTCCAAGGCCTGGGGGGTTCTCATCCACCTCAGCACCTATACCTAAGGTACCTTATTAAGTACGTTATCCATACAACTTCAACATCATAACCACCAACTTCATAATACTTCAACTCACAACAGCACAACAAAAATGCCTCCCCGAATCCCCACCGAAGAAGACTTCTCCCCTCTATCAAGCACCCTCCCTCACACTCTCCACTTCCCCTCACCGCCAGAATCAACCACCACATTCCTCATTCTCTTCCACGGTCTAGGCGACCACGATGTTCCTTTCGCCTCTTTCGCCAAGAACCTCAATCTCCCCGGCGTTCTCGCCATTTCAGTGCGCGGCACATCTGTCCTGCCAGCTGCACTTCTCGGTGGTGATAGACCGGGATATCATTGGGGTGACGACCTCACTGTTGATCCCAGCACGGGAGACATTGCGGATGATTCTGGTTTCGAGAAGGCCAGGAACTTGATCATGGAAAAGTTGATCGTGGGACTCCTTATTGAGAAGTGCGGGTGGGAGATGAGAGATATCATTTTCTTCGGGTTTGGACAGGGTGGTTCACTCGCTCTTGGTCTTGCAGCCTCTTTGAACAAGACTCCACGGATCACTGATGTTTCCGAGGGTGAGAGCACTTCGCCAGGTAACAAGAAGTTCAAGGGTGCTGTATCTCTCGGTGGACCTTTACCGCAATCTATGGTGTCTACAGTCACAAATCGCAGCAAGTGCAGCACAAGCGTGTTGGTATGCCAACTTGACGAAGACGCTGTCGATGCTGTGAAGCGAGAATTTGACGATGTCAAGGTCGTCCAGTGGAAGAGACGCGAGGTGAGCATGCCAATGAACAGAGATGAGGTGTTGCCTTTGATGCAGTTCTTTGCGGATAAGCTCAAGAATGAATGGTAGTTCATTGCACGGGGCGTTTAAAATAACAGATTGTTCACAAGGGGTATCATTATATTCATATCCAATCTCAACATCGTGGCTCAAGAGTAGCCTGGCCTTTCGTCTCGACAGCCTGTTTGGAACATCTCAGCTAGTATATCCCATTTTGCAGACTGCGCATCACTTGTAGCTCTGGCAACACTGCGTAGACCGCCACAAACAAACCGCAAGTGTCTATCATAATCGGATTTAATCTCCTTGAGCACGGTCATGAATGGCTTGCCCATCTTCAAGGTCCTCGATTCATCCCTCTCCACATCGTCCTCTTCATCACTACTATCGACGTACTTGGACTTCAATCCAGGTGTTCCCGGCGTAGGCGAAAGGTTTCTGGTCGAGAGTCGAGAAAACTGCTGCATGCGCTCTGTCTCTTTTGTCATGCTGACAGTTTGTGCTTGCTCTAGTCTGATAGCCAGGTCGAGCATATCGAGGAGGCATTCTCTGATCGGTGTTAATCTGCTTCCTAGACATGCCTCGTCAACGACCTGTTTCAAGAATGCAGCATGAACTGTCATCATGGCATCGACATCGTGAGCGTCTTGCATGTCCTGCCTCATCTTAGCGCAGTTTGGTGCCAAGACCAGCGTCGCAAGATAAGTCTGAAGAGTAGTGCAGAACCACAGGAGGTTATTCCGTAGTGAATAATAAAGAGCGCGTTCGTCCCAGTCATCATGATCGACCCAGTAATTCTCGAGGATCTTGCGCTTATGTAGAACATACAAAGCTCTCTTCAATTGCAAAAGAAGAGTAAATATAGCATCATACTGGGTGTTACTGTCTTCGGACAGAATCATGCGAATCGGCCATGCCACCCGATAGTTGACTTTTGTACTGGGAAGTACGGATTTGACAGAGTCGCGAGCCTTGAGGAGTGGCACCTTTAGCCCCGTGGGACTGATATATATGGATATTCTCGTCATGTCGACAAGAGTTGTGAACGCCTCTTGTGCCACACTCGTCAGACTATAGCGGTTGTTCCAGTTAGGATCCAGCGCATCTAGCTTTCCGAACAGGCTGCTAGTCCACGCTTCCGTTGCGGCACCATCAGACATGAAATAAAGCCGCTCCATAGCTTCGAGAGCAGACCAGAGTCCGCACTCTTCAAACAGTGTGTTCCTCAGCGTGGTAGAGGACGTGTTGTATTTGGTCTGGATCCATGCATCAAAAGCAGCGTCGAAAAGCTCTGAGAACGGCGCAAGCTCAAGTCCTTTAGGACAAAGCGTATCATAGTGTAGTGGAGGCTCTTGAATCGTCCATTCCGAGCCTGAGGAGATCCAGCGGCCCAACCGCTTCAAGATTACGATGTTTTTGCCAGCATTGAAGATCTTGGCAGCTGCTGGCTGGAGGAAATTGGGGGCATGCAACTTCCCATCGGCCGTCCTACGCAGCCTGAATTGTTCGCGCCAGATCTTGCTAGGTGATACTTGGCTCGGTGCCTGTGATACAAAAAATATCTTGTCACCGGGAAGAAGTTTGCCCTCTTCCATCCAGAGCCGAATAGGGCGAAGGTAAACATTGAAGCACTCGACGAAAATGCGTGCCAGAAACTCGTAAACGTCTAGCTTTCCGGATAGTTGCGCCATGCTTGCATCGTCGAAGAGAAGCTCAAGATACCGAAAGGTACCTTGATTGGGCACGTTCTGTATCTGAGCGATGATATTTGAAAGAGAATACAATGGTTCAAGAGATGTTGCCAACTCTCCCTTGATCGACAATAAACTGACAACCACATTATTCTCAGGCGCAACAAGCCGTGACTCTATACCCGTTGACTTTCTATCCAGATCGTCGAGACGCTTGGCCACAGTATCCTGGAGAACCTGAATATGCGATGCTCGTTGTGGCTTGCTGACGAAATCTCGCAGAATACCCAATTGTCGTCCTGCTTCAGAGAAATGGCTCAGAAGGGCTTTGTGAGTATCCCATTTCAGATGGCCTATTTGAAATGCTGGGTTGACAGTACCATTGGGTCCAAAGAGTGTCGTATCGAGTCCTTGCAGCATGAACAAAACTTCTCGAACGATCTGGAATTCCGTCACAGGGACTTTTCGAGCGTGACCCGATGCGTCTGTGGGCTTTTCTGTCCGCCATCCTTGCGCTCCTCGAATCTCGTGCAGTTTTGTCATATCCTCGGGGCTGATGATCAGATCTTCGGCTGTTCGTCCAAGAGGGGCCTCAGATGGGTCGGTGCTAGCTTCTGATTCACTCTTGGAGTCATCTTCGTAAAGCTCATCATCTGAGCTGTCGGTGTATTTTATCGTCTTCCATATCGCAGGGTCGTCTTCCCATCCATCTTCCTTGGCAATATCCTCCCAACGCAGTTCGAGCTCTGAATCGCTTGATCCCGTTTTCAGCGCATCCAGGTCGCTCAATTTTGAGTAATATGTCGGTTGATCTGAGAGTTCTAGTATCAAGTATAGAACTTCGGGGTGGAAATTCGAGTGTATTTGTCGGAGCTGCTCCCGGCGCTCGATGAGCGCATCAGCAAGTGCATCTCGGCCATTGACGCGGAATCGCTCTTCTAGACCGTCCAGCTGGTGTTCGACTTCGAATTGATTCGTTCGTAGATATGGATGCGACTTTAGCCTTTGTAAAGCAGCGTCACGCTGGGCCTTGAATCGAGGGTTTGTCTGAAATCATGAATACAGATCCCGAACATGTGATGGAGAGAGGTCATACCTCAGCTGATGAGCCAGTGACAGCCTCAAGGAGCTCTCCGGTGAGAGCGCCCAGCCTTGCAGCAAATGCCATGGTCGTCTCTCATGTCTTGCTCGTTATCATGTTGAATGGCTGTTGTATCATGACTGGTAACGAATAATTTAGCGGGGGTTTCAGTGGTTGATGGCGCGTCAGTCGCGTCAACAGGGTCCAAGCTCCACTACAATGATAGCTCTTATCAGCGCTGATTGGCTTAGCTGTCGTGACATCAGCTTCAATTCCCTATTCGAAACCCCTTTCACATACTTTGAGCTTGAAACGATTCCAATCCAGAGACAATTTGCTCTAGAGCGATAAGTCACATCCTTTTGTCGCTATAGTTGTATATGCTTCTCTCACTCATGGATGTTTGAGCCCCGTCCCCTTCTTTTTTTGGCGTTATAGTAACCCTGGTTTATCTGGCGATATCCTGTCGAGCACAACATGACGGTTGCGCGGCCAGTTCGGGCGTTGATCGCCGGCGGGTGCATTCTCTGGTGTTTCTTTCTATGGCAGATATTCCCTCCATCATGGTCGTTAAGAGGTCCCGGTGATCGCTACTCCAATTTTGAGCGGGATCCCATGTTGGATCGTAAGTCGCAAAGAGCATCGACATCAACTGTTGCTAACTGATATAACAGCTACCGATGAACCAGAAGGAGTGTTACATCGTACGAGTCCGAGATATGCCCACGATGCGAAAAATACGGAGCGCATTGATGCGACGCTATTAGCGCTGGTGCGGAACGAGGAGGTGGATGCCATGGTCATGTCGATGAGGGATCTCGAAAGGACATGGAACTCCAAGTTTAACTACCCCTGGACATTTTTCAACGATAAGCCTTTCACGGAAGAGTTCAAGAGGAAGACAAGAGCGGCTACGAAGGCGAAATGTAACTACGGTACGTCTTGTCTAGGAAGAGGAGAGGAGAGGAGAGGATATGCTGATACTACGACCAGAACTCATCCCCAAGGAACATTGGGACATGCCCTCTTGGATCGACGAAGAGCTCTTTCAAGAATCCGCCAAGATCCTCGAAAAGAATGGCGTCCAATACGCAAGCAAGATATCATACCACCAAATGTGTCGATGGAACAGCGGTCTGTTCTACAAGCATCCAGCCCTGAAGGACATTCGCTACTACTGGCGTGTCGAGCCTAACGTGCACTTCTTCTGCGATGTTGACTACGATGTCTTCCGCTACATGCACGATAACAACAAGACATACGGCTTCACTATCAACCTCTACGACGATCCCAAAACCTTACCTTCCTTGTGGCCCGAGACAGTCAAGTTTCTCGCTGAGCATCCCAATGCAATCCACGAGAACAGCGCTGTAGCTTGGGTCACCGATGATGTTCGTCGACCTTCCACAAATAGAAAGGCTCAGGGATATTCGACGTGCCATTTCTGGAGTAATTTTGAAATTGCGGATATGTCATTTTGGAGGAGCAAGACTTACGAGGACTACTTCAACCACCTCGATCGTGCAGGCGGATTCTTCTATGAACGATGGGGTGATGCTCCAGTTCATAGTATTGCCCTTGGTCTATTTGAAGACCAGAGCAAGATTCATTGGTTCGTATTCAACCTTTCTTCCACATGCAGTAGACTAACAAAACATGCCAGGTTCCGTGATATTGGATATCAGCACATCCCCTTCTTCAACTGTCCCAACTCACCAAAGTGTAAGGGCTGTGTAACTGGCCGTCTCACTGATGGTGAGGCCTGGCTGCATCGAGAAGACTGTCGACCCAACTGGTTCAAGTACGCTGGTATGGGCTAACAAGCTTGTCTCATATATAACATTTTGACAATATTTGATGCATAGAAAGGGGTACAGAGTTTTGATTTCTGGCAATGTTGACAACGATTTGGCGCTGGTGGGAAGCTATTAATGTTCAAGCAAGCTGCAAAGGGGGTATCATGATGGACAATATCTTGTCTGTACGAATTGGAAAACGCCCTTGATGATGATGCATTAGATTCGAGAATAAATAAAGACGCTATCTCGCTTGGTCTTGAAAGTAATGGGTATAATAGATAGATGTCTACAAGGCTCCGTAGACCGTCACCACGCCTGATGTTCCACCAACGCAGAACTGATCTCCCCAACCATCCTCCCTCCACGCCATACAACTCACAACATTACTCCTCGCCTTCTCCTTTCCATCCCGGCCAACAGCCTTCTTCTTTGGTTCAAATCCTTCTGGCCCCCAAGGAACCGTCACCTTAGCCGCCAACTTTCCCGTCAACAAATCCCAAGCCCATATCCTTCCATGTCCGTTGGGTGCAGGCTCACTGGCCATGGCATCGCCAACCACTACATACTTCTCTTTGCCGCCCAGCAGCGCCTGCAGCTTGACATCTTCGTTCTTCCATCCTGGGTCGGTGTATGCGCGTAGGCAGGAGCCATTGTCGCGGTCCATTAGGCGGAGTTTGTTGTCGAGACTTCCGACCAACATGGTGCGTCCGTCGCGGGTGAGACTGAGACTCGTAATGGGTGCGCCTATCACATCGGTTGTGACTCTTCCCATGCGGATATCGTAGCTGCGTACACGGCCATCGACGCTCCCTGCGAGGACTTCAGGGCCACGGACGACGAGACATGTTACGGCATCGTTGGCATCGTCGAGAACCTGTATGGGCTTAAAGCTGTTGCTCTTCGTATCCCACAATCTCACCGTAGTGTCAAAGCCTGCGCTGACGATAATAGAATCACCTTCTCCCGCAAAGCTCACACAATTAATACGAGCTGTATGGCCATGAACGTTACCACCAAATCGCTTAGTCGTAACAGCAGTGCTCACGTCCCAAAGGAACACGCTGCGATCACCACCAGCCGACACGAACCGTTCATTGTCGGCCGCGACAGAGAGGCTCAAGACTTCATAGCCGTGAGCAGCATAAGTCTGAATCAGTCGACCCTGAGGAACAGCGCTGTGACGATCACCGGGACCAGATGTGCTGGGAAATGGGTTGTAGAGGCGGATAGATCGGTCCGCAGAACCGGTGAGGATGTATGTGCCTGGAGAGGCGGAGTATGCAAGGGCATGGACCGGGCCTTTCGGTGTGTGTTAGTGTAAGCGACAGCGCGGCATATGCCTTGAAATTGCTACAAGTTGGTGGGATATGACATGATATGATATGATATAATGGGATGGGTACGCCACGCCTGAAGCCAAGAGCGAAATGTATGGGGGAACTAACCATTGGCGCCCAAAAGATGAGCGGATGGCTTATCTGGAAACCCCATTGCGAGGTATTGACAATTATTGGTATTGTCAAGTAAAGAGTGAGATGAGGGAAGCTCTGACGTTTCTGCGGCAAATGCATGTTTCCAGTGCATTACCTAATCAGGCTAGCTGCATATCTCTATGCAGCACGATGATTATGGACGTTGCTGTAAGTGTAAGGGAAATCGGGCTAATTATACGGATGGATAGCCACACTCCCTACTCCCCCCTCCCCTTAACCCCGACCGTTACAATACCTAGGTACTTAGGTACATACTGACCTACTCCGTATTGTACGTACATACTTATGTACATACGAAAAAAAAAGGTCACTGCAGTGTAACCATAGGCCACCTTGCAGATGCAGTTTCATGATGATGTACATGGAGAACATGCGAGGTTATTTGAGAAAAACAAGTACCTCATATGCCGAGAGACACGTACGTATGTGCGTGCCATGTCGGCTTCTTTTGGCAGTAGACGAGATAGGAAGCTGGTATTAATTACCTAGGTTCGTAGATGAGGCTACGTTGGTCAAGCAAGCAGTACGTAAGTACTAAGGCAGCTGTATCGTGATCAAGTTAGGCATCATTTACAACCAACAACCAATATCTTACGACATAGAATCTCAATCCCACTCACTGCAAGCAGTATTGAAATTACAATGTCCCCGTCTTTGCTGAGCTTTCAGCCGAGGATACGATACCTCCCCTCCGCCTTCAGTTCCACCTCTGTCTAGACTCTGAGGCCATCAAGAACCACTTACACAACCCACAGCTTCGACGGCCCCCAACCAACAACAAACCCTCCCCCAAAGTTGATGCCGGGATTCCCTTCCCTCGAGTCCATTCTCATCCACATATTCCGCTATCCCGCCAACCAATACTCTGCCAAGCCTCTTATCACAGGCTTCACATTACCCTCATGGGGCATTTCCGAGCGCTTGTTCCCAGCATAGCAGCCTCTCCTGAGGGAGCAACAAAACCCAAGACTTGAGAAGATGATGCTAAAATAAACTCAGCAAAAGATATCCCAAACTTGGGCCAAGTTTGCCAAAATATTTTCATCACTTAGGATAGATATCCCAAGTTTTCTTTCTTCCCCTAGCCTCTGTGCTTACTGAATTTGGTACCATGTTCGTTCGTGTGTGCTCAGGTGCTGGGGGAAGAGAGGATCCTTCCGAGATACGAGATCAGCGCCTATGAGATTGTGTCAGTCATGATCCATATTGTTGCCGCAAACGGATAGCCGTCCATTGATGTGAGGAGGAAGGCATTCGTGGAGGCACGAGTTGCAGGGCCTTTTGGAAAAGAGACGTCTGGCCGTAAACTGTGGCAACGACACATGGGCTTGAGAGAGTCCGGCTCTAACATGAGAAGGGCATGTCACAGGAAGATCACGCCGCACACTAGACATGGTGGTATCCACGAAACTACTCAGGTCCCTTGTCAAAAGCGCCCCAGACGGTCTTGTCTCAGCCTGTAACAACCACTCGAGGTGATTCAGGTTGGTCAATCACTGCAAACAGTATTTGCTCCGAAAGTCATCTCATCTTGTCTTCTTCAAGTCCAACAAAACGCTGGACGTCAATTACATTTCAACAGACTTGGTGTGGACCAGATGCCTAATCATCTTGGTGCCTGCCTGGCTCAAGAACGCTCAGCTCACTCGAGATCAAATCTCAGAGGGCAAGGCGCCAGAACTCCTTCCTTTATGTGCGTAGTAAGATATATCGTACAATGGGGAATAATATAGAAAAACAGTACAATTCCCTCAATCCGGGAACGAACAAGCGACAGGGCAGTCAATCGACTGCCTGTCATCGTATGCTATGTATATAACGCCATATCCCCCAATTCTGATGCCCAACACCATGCCTGCAGTGTCGTGAATGCAGCAAGATGCAAATGATACAAAAACGGTGGAAAAATCAGCTTCGTGTGGCCAGTGCCAAATATTTCATGCAATCCGCTTGCTCAAATCATTGTAGATAGTAAATGGTATCCATATCCCGAGGATACAGCTTCTCCATTGGGTTGTTGATTTGCCAACGAAGGATCTTCTCTTCTTCACGTCCTTCAGAACTGTAAAAGACTCGGTAGCCTTCCATAGGACTGACCGGTTGGCTGCCTCGCTCTCGAATGCGATGCAGCATTGCTAGGCGTCCATCAATCGCCTCTTGCGCGTTCCGCACATTGTCCCAAATAGCAAACATGGCCTGAACCACTCCCTGAACCATGTGCACATTCTCAATGATGTCGCTGAGGTGAGAAAGACGTCCACTTGCGGTGAAAACATCAACAGCTTCCGTCAAAACCATGGCTAGAACTGGTGCAGGTCCGCTGAGGACTGTCTGCCCTCCACGATGAAGTCGTACAAGTGCCTTGGCCATATCCAATACTTGTGTTGCATGTTCATAGCATGTTTGTATATTGTGAGATGTAACTTGAGGCGAAAGGCGTCCTGCTGCCAGTGTATGGCGGCTGAGCTTGATCATGGCATGGTTGTAAAGAAGGTGCATGGTCAAAAAAGGTCCCAACTCCCCAGCCAGCGCTGCAGACTCAAGATTCGAAGCGGTAAAAGCTAACCGGGAAGGCAAGGCGTTGCGCCACTCTTGAATGCGCTTCAGGATTCGTTGGGATGGCTCCAAATCCGTTTCCATCACATTCGCTCGTCGAGCCATTCTATAAATCCGGCATACATCGTTAGACCATATGTGTACCATCTGGACTAGGTAAGCTGAAATGCCAAGCTCACGGTCTTGCGCCGTAGCAACGCCGGAGACGTAAGGATTGAAGACGGGAGCGAATCCATCCATCTCACGCTCGAAGCTCTGACCGTCGGCGGGTAGGCGGATATAGACATCTTCGGCGTTGATCATGGCCAAGTGATCAGGAAAGCGACCGTCAAGGCGCTCTAGCATGTAGAGAGACCAGAAAGTCCTTCTCCTGGCTTCACAGTACCCAGCCTTGTTCATTCCGAACGGAAATGTGACGAGGCCGGCTTCCTTTGACTCTTCGATCTCGACGTTCAACTGAAGGCAAGCTGCTGAAGCCACCGCAGCTGATATCATCTCACTAGCTTCAGATGAGCGAGAAATTGAAATGTAGTAGAGTGCCAGTAAAACTCTAGTCTGGACCAACTGGATACAGTTGGCTGTGGTGAATTTCTGAGCATAGTGCGCAACAGACGCGTACTCAAAGGCGATGGATTTCGGTCCGCCAGAAAGGGCAACACCAACAGCGAGAATGCTGTACAGGATCATCAAGTCCTCTGGCGTCTTGCGGTGTCCTGGGTTTACAACCCATGCCTTGAAGACGTTCTCGGGGATGAGTCGCACGATCATAGTGCTGTCGAGGTGGACGAAAAAGTGAGAGATCACAGACCGAATAGACTGGGGGTCGGACAGGGAGGGGTCAGTTCGCCAAGCTTGGTTGAGCACGTCTTCGGAAATTCGAGGGAGCTCAATTGCGGGAGGCTGAATGCGGACGTGAGGTCTGGGAACCTCAACAGGCGGTAGTGCATGCACTGGCTCACCCATCGAAACGTA